AGTTTTATGTCAAGGCACTAGACCTACCAGAATGATTAATCCTATGATGTCCTTTCCATACTGCTGTAGTAAGTAGTTATCTTCATGTCCCCTTCCTTCCATGGTTATACACACTGGAGATTTTTAGGTCTAGTTTCATCTCATCGCTTCTAGCCTTTTTCCCCTCAGGGATGATCCACTTTTTGTACTGCTTAACACTATTCTTGCACATGGTGAATGACTGCAGCAAAAGTTCTGCTGGACTTAGGAAAAGGAATGACAAATCCCTGGCTGAACTGAGTATGGCAAAAATGGAGTAGTTCAGTTTTAATAATATAGAGAATGATGTTTAGACTCCAGACTTTGGAGAAGCAGTGAATTCCACAGTTTGTTTTTTTCTGTGAGGTTTTTTTGCAGGCAGAAAAGCACTTGCAAAAGCTTTGCATGAATGTCCTGTTAAATTTTCAGAAGGCTGTCTAGAATGCTCTGCATCCCCTAAAAAAATGCTCAACATGTGCATTGTCAGTAATAACAGGATTGTAAAGAAAGTCTACTTATTTTATACTGAATTGTCTTCCTGTCTCATGACACCTTTTACCACAACAAAACTCTAGCCTCTGAGGAAGACCATGTGTTACTGATTCTGTCTTCTTTCTATAGAATAAAAATAAGATGTCCATCCTTGTTAGGCCTCTAGACAGGATTGAAGAGCAGTCATAAGCTAGTATGCAGGTCAGGTTTATTGTTAGTGGATGTGAATTCTAGAGGTGAAAGCAGCTCTGCATAATAAACGGTTCTGCAGTTTGGGTTGCTTTAGAGAAGGGCAGCACTTACACTGGAGTGTATTTGACCTATTAAAAGGCATTAATCTCTAATACTACAGTGGTGTTGAGCTTGTGTGTGTGTTTAGGGGTAAGGGATATCAAATATTCCTAATGAAAAGCTTAAATCTAAGAAGTAAAGATAGAAGCTTTTATGCTGATGTGCACATCAGCTGTCTACTTTCACCCAAATTTAAATTAAAGAATGTGTATTAATGTTTTTCCAAATCTAAAGCTCATAGGAGCAAAAATTTCAACTTCTGTCAGTAAAGCCAGCTAGAAATAATACTTAAATGATTGTTCCAGACAGCTGAAGCCCATACTTCCAAAGTGACTGCTATAGAGTACAAAGTGAAGTACAGCTCAGTGCAGGCTTACATTCCCACCAGTATTGCTATCTTCTTACATGATGAGAAGCTACATACAAAGCTAACCTTGACTTCAGCATTATTCCAGAGCTCCTAAATCTGCTGGCTAGCATGATCCCACTTGCAGTGCCCTCTCCCCTAGTCAGGACCCATGAGGGGATTCAGCTAGTCTGTTGTTCCACTACAAGACTTGTTGCCTTTCTGGTATAGCATATCTGGTGAGAGGCTGCATGTCCTTAAAGCTTCACGTAGGCTGGGGGATACTGGGGCATGAGAAGTCACCAATGTCAAGGAACCAGCTGCTGGGCACTGTTGGTTGATTACCAGTCAGTGCAGGTCTCCAGCTCACTGTATGTGAAGGCATGGGTCCGGGTGGGTGGGGAAGACTGACTATGGTAAGATGATAGGAATTCTCTTGGAAATAGAATTGTCAAACTTATCTAATGATCAGACTTTCTGGCCAAGGTTAGGCCCCCTGTTATTTCTTTAAGAAAAAACATTTGGTAGTGGTTAGGACTCTTCAAGTTGGTTATGATATATATTTTGTAACTTTGTTTCTTTTCTTTGGAAGCTATATGTGATTCAATCTCTTTTAAACACCTTAACTGTGTTGTGCAGGTTTCAGCAAGGGTTATTGCTATAGGAGGCTAGTATGGCCTTCTCGCTAACTATTCTTTAAAGCTTTTTTTTGGATGGGAGGGCAATGGGCAGGAAGGGATTCAGTCAATGGTAATGTCCTTCACTGTGGTAACTGATCACAGCCATGTTTACCTAGAGCATGCACAGTTATCTGAGAAATGTTAACTGCCCAATAACCTTTTCTGTAAATCCCAAATAAATTAGTTTTCATATGTAGTGATTATGTTGTCTCTATTCCTTGCTGGTAACAGTCTAGCAACCCTTTCTGCAACTAATCAGTCTGACTTAATTTTATGTGAATATCCATCAAGTTTTTGGAAAAACTTATCACCTTAATTTAAAGTCTGAAATCCCTACAGATCTTCAGCAACTGAATAGAAAAGACTAATGTGACTGTTCTCCTCACTGCTTCAGATTCATGTGTAGTCTCATGTAAATAACAGCAAGTGGTATTCACTTCTAGACCATTTCAGTGCCAAACTGAATAAATCTTTCTGTAGAAGATTGAGATTAGTACAGAGCACTGTAGATTTTGAGATTGCACTGTTTTTGGGCCTATCCTATGGTGTGAAGGGATATACTGCTTGAATTGGACACAAGGCTCAGTGCTTTAGCACAATTGGAGGCATTGCTGTGTAACAGGAATTGATGGTGAGACTGACAGCTAAAGAAATGGGGAATCTGAGAAGGAGCTTCTCATAGCTTGTGTGATATCCTATGCAGTGACTGGCTTAACAACTAAATTTGACCCTCTGTAGCTCCATTTAAAAAAAAAAAAAAAGTAAAAAAATCCCTACAATCTAAGTGTAAATCTTCTTTAGGTGTGACAATTGATCTGTACAAGCAGTATAAGCCTTCTGGCCAGATGTTTTCCTGATGGCATTTGATTCATGAAAACAGTGGCCACATGGTACAACAATTTGTAGTAAGGCTATACCAAAACCACCTTTTAGGCATAAGAATTCAGCCTGGGAAGTCATAGGGAGACAATGTGAGTTACTGTGTACAAGTTCTGTGTATACTGTTTGAGATTTATATCAGCAATGTGTCTCTTCCAGTGACATAGTCACCAAGATGCAGGCTTGGTGCCTGGCTTGTTGGCCTTGAAGTCCAGGGCATAAATGCTTCTTCAAAACTTGAGCTTTGCATATGGAGTTGCATATTCAACCTCTTGCATGCTTCTACTTTGCACACAGGGGATAATGAGCTGGTAGTGAAGACATTCATGTGTAACTTCCACTTCTCAGAAGATGCTGGCTAGTGATGCTGTTTTACAGACCATCATACTTTAAAGCTGAACATCCAGAAATAGTCAGCTTTATAGTTCTCTGGAACTCCACTGTAGCTACCGCTGCTTTCAGGCAACTCTAACAGCTGCTTAGTCAACCTTTCCTGAAAATGTCTATAGGGAATGAGCTAATCAGTATGCTGAAGTACTGATGTTAAAATGAGGCAATTGAGCTAGAAAAGCATGCCGTTGAGCAGGATCCCCTGTCAAGTTCCTTCACCTAATGAATTTCTGGCTCTTTCTGATAAGATATTACCCAGTTCTCCTTGTAAATATTTGTACTTGCTAATCAAAGGTGGACTTGAATGTTTATAAACAGAGGACAACTATGTTTCCAATTAAAATTCTTACTTTATCTATTCTAAAACTGCATATTCATTAAATGCTAAATGCTGAAGTAACCATACACTGTAAGAATAAATTATAAAGTGCAGGACCTGCTTTTCCCAATTAAGACTTCCAAACAAAGCAGAAGGCTATTTTAGTAGCCTGAACTTCCCAAGCAACATGACACTGGTATGCACACTCAAGTACAAATACAGCATGATGGTCTGACCTTCCAAAGAGAAGAATAGTTGAACTGGCACTCTAATTCTACATTTCAAGTATACTGACCACAGTAGTTGTGCTTAAGAAAAGGCTTTTAGTTTACTATACTTGCTGACCATTTGTTTTCTTCTGGATTTTTGTTGTGAATACTTGTAGTTTTGCTGTTTTGATAATCTTGTTCAAATAATGAGATTTCTGTAGTATTCCTGTAGTTGGAAATTATTCCAGAGAAGGTGTTAGACTTAAAAGATAAAGTCAAAGATAACAGGTTTAGCTGGAAGTGTTAAATTAGCTCCTTTTGAGCTTGATCCTAAGGATACTATAATGTAGGCAACTTCTCCGGAAGATGCTGTTGTGGTTTAACCTGGCAGGCAGATAAATAGCATACAGCCACTTGCTCATGCCCCTGCAGTAGGATGGGGGAGACAATGGGGAAAAAAAACTTGTGAGTTGAGATAAAGATAGCTTAATAGGACAGAAAAGGAAGGGAAAAAATTACTAATGATAAAAGTATTAGAATATACAGAACAAGTGATGCACAATGTAATTGCTCACCACCTGCTGACCGCTGCCCAGCCAGTTCCAGAGCAGTGGCCCCCAGCCAGCTTTCCCCCCAGTTTATATACGGAGTGTGATGTTGTATGGTATGGGGTATCCCTTTGGCCAGTTGGGGTCAGCTGTCCTGGCTGTGTCTCCTCCCAGCTTGTGCCCCACAGCCTACTCACTAGTGGGGTGGGGTGAGAAGCCAAAAAGTCCTTGCCTTAGTGTAAGCACTGCTCAGCAACAATTGAAACATCAGTGTGTTATCAACATTATTCTCATTCTAAATCCAAAGCACAGCACTATACCAGTTATGAGGAAGAAAACTACCTCTATCCCAGCTGAAACCAGGACAGATTCTTTGAAGGCTCTTAGCCTTGGAGCTTGTAGAAACCCTTGTTGCTCACACTTCGGAAAAAGATTGTTTGCTTAAATCTCTAGCTGAAGCAGTTAAATTTATATCTAAATCTTGCAGAAGCTTTTTTGATGAAAGAAAGATTTGTGTATAGTTGTACTAGTAGCATTTTTAGGCATTACTTCTCAAAGAACACTACTCAACAAATAAGTTTAAAAGAAAAAAATTCCCAGTGGTAGTTGGCATTGCAAACTACTTTTAGCATCTCAGTTGTTGTGTATAATATATATAATGGCTGTTACAATGAGCTTACATAGGATAGAAGAGGCAATGTTGTATGAACTAAGTGATTAGACCTGCATGCCAAACTTGTATGTACTAACTTGGTACAGAAGTCCAATTACATTTCCTACAGTTTGTACTTAAATATAAATATTCTCTGTCACTGTTCTTTCTATCAGGCCAAGAACGCTTTGGAAATATGACCAGAGTGTATTACAAAGAGGCAGTTGGTGCTTTTGTGGTCTTCGATGTCACAAGAGGCTCCACTTTTGAGGCTGTTTCAAAATGGAAACATGACTTGGACAGTAAAGTACTACTTCCCAATGGCAGCCCCATCCCTGCTGTTCTTCTTGCAAACAAGTGTGACCAGAAGAAAGATGGCAGCCAGAATCCCTCTCAAATGGACCAGTTCTGCAAAGAGGGTGGCTTTGTGGGATGGTTTGAAACATCTGCCAAGGTGAGCATAAAGAAGAAACTTGTTTTAACTCCTCTAAGTATTGGCATAAGAATGAATTAATAGTCATGTGAGGAATAAAATTATCAAGTATAGGAAGTGACAGTGAAGTCTCCAATGTTCAATAGAAGTTGGAAGTAATGTGCAGGCTAGCTCACTCCGGAGGAAGACTTGCAGAATAGTTGGTTTAAATTAGAACTGCATCTTAAATTCAGAGAACCTTAAAACGAGCTGGAAACATTCATTAACTGAGTTTAAGTTTTTTTTTTTTCATCTTGCATGCATCAGGATCAGAGCCATTCTTTAGATGTTAATACTACTAAATGCTGATTTAACTCTAAAAGATACAAGATCTTTAGGTGCAGGTTTTTAAATTGAATCTTCTGTCTTCACTGTTGCACATAGGAAGTGGTAAGACTCTAGAAGTGAACAAGCTATTTGCTTACTTGTTACTACCTACCCAGATGATAATGTCACTAAAGCACTTTTCTATTTTATCAGGCAGCATCAAGATTTAACTGGAGAAAAACAAATTGTTCTGTATAGTAACTTAAGCTAAGATAGACAGATACTTTTAAGTGACTTCATATATTGCACTCAGTCTACAGACTCGGTCAATGTATGGATAAGCTTGCAGTAGCTTAGTTGGCAGTGAAATCAAACAGTTCCTTAATACTAAATTGATCCTTGAAATGAAAGGTTCTTCCGGATGAAGACAGTGTGGCTGACAGACCAAATTACTGGTCCGGCTAATAACTCCTTTATATGGTAAGCTAAACCTCAAGGTCCCTCTTTTCCCTTAGATTGCTTACTTCCTTCAACTGCTGCTGCTGAACTGGCACAAAATGATACATAGACAACTCAAAGAAGTCTGTAAGAGGAATAGAAGAAATAAAGTAATAAGCATCTTCCTGATCACTTTAAAATAAGGAAGAAGGGTACACAGTGACAGGAATTATTTAAATTAGTTAATAATTTGTTTGCATTTAACAAATAATTCCCAAACCCACCCATCTGTTACTTAAACTTCACATTTTAAGACTCCATACTCAAAAAATACTAAGGTTCTGCTTTGGGCTATGTCTTCCCTGAAGCTTTACCTGCCCATAACACTGGTAGGTATTAATTTCAACATGGGTTAAAAATAAATGCAAGTAATACTGGAACAAAACCTAATGTGGAAGTGTAGTGACAGCTTGCATTTTAGGTGGGATTTAAGACACAACAATGTAAAACGAGGTTCTTGGCGCATAGAAGTCTAGTCAGTATTAGTCCTATTTCAGTTATTTACTTGTTTAGGACTCTCAAGTGTAGTTAAAATAGCTTAGCAGAAATTCAGGACAGCTTTATTGCTTTCTAAACACAGCAAATCAGTTTGTGGTTTTAAGTCCTGCCCACTTAAATATCCTGATAATCTGCTTTTGCATTTCTGCTGAAACTGATACTTGAATCTTCAGTCTAGTCATCAGTAATAATACAGGTCCCACTCCATGTGGATTAGGTAGAATGTTAAAGGCGAAAGAACTGTAGAGAGTATATATACTCATAGAAATCTTACGAACACCCTCACACTAAAATGAGGAGAATCCTTCTCCACTTTGGGCAGCGAAGTGCCTATCTGCAAATTTCCAGAAGTAGTTTGGCTGACAATCACAAGCTTGTAAAGTGTAATAATGATAGGTAGAGTGTAGAGTTCAGATCTTATGGACATGGAGTGTACTGGTGTGGTATTTCCTTTGAAACCACGGATGACTAATTCCAAATATAGCAGCCCTATGGTGAGCTAGCGGGTGGCCCAAACAGGTCATAGCTGTGGCCAAAGTCCCCTTGGCACTGGCCATCTTGGCCTCACATTAACCTAGATATGTATTTCATCAGGATATCCTGCTTACATATCTTTTTTAGAGGGTATGTGAAGGTACTTTTCCAAGCCTGCACAAGAAAATGTAGAGTGGCTGGATGAGGCATCACGATTTAGCTGGAGTTCTGAGGGGCTGGAGAAGGTCCTTTTATATATTAAGTGCTTCCAATCTGCAGCAGAAGCAGAAAAGGGCCCCAAAAGGTAGAACACTACTATGAACAGTGTAATTACCTATTATCTTTCCTGATGCAGAAATGCACTTTGGCATTTAAGAGTATTCCAAATGCAGGTGGCATCCCCCAACTGCCTGAAAGATTAGAGTCAAGGTATCCTATGTGTAATATGGATTAATAACTTTGTCTCAAAACTTTCTGGTAACTTTTTTCAAAAAGCAAGTGTATGAGCAATGACCTGATATATCTAAGCTGTTTGTGTTGTGCTGAGATGGTAGAAGAGTTTATGTATTTGGCCTGCTTCAAAGAGGTGTGTGTGACTATTTCAAAATCACTGACTTATTTGCTTTCGATGTTTTTAGGACAACATCAACATAGATGAAGCTGCTCGATTCTTGGTGGAAAACATCCTTGCCAACTACAAAACCTTTCCTAATGAAGAAAATGATGTGGGAAAACCAAAACTGGACCTAGACCCATTGAAAGCAGAGAGTAAATCACAGTGCTGCTAATGCTACCACTGTTCAGTAAATGTGATGGGAAGAGCAGTAAGACTGTTCCTTAAATCAAACTGCTGCTATGGTGCTGCATTGTGACAATCCATATGGGGTGTCTGGTATTATCTGAATAGGTGATTCTTGTGGGTGTTTACATATTCTTGTTTAGCATGAAACTGAGTATCTTGTGAGTTATCACTCCACTTGCTTGAGTGGCTACACCTAAGTCTGATTAGTGTCTTACTTGAGAACATAAGGTAGTGTTTACACTCCTAAAAAGGAGCAAAGACAACATTCAGTCTGCTTCTAGGACATATGCTACACTCCAAGTAGGACTCACTTGTCATGGTTTTTGCTGAACAGCCACTTGCACCTTTAACTTTCCTTTGTCACCAGTAATGTCCCACTTTAGCCTTCTCACCTACATACTTGTCCCTATTTATTATCCCCCACTATAAGGATCTGTCTCATTGCTAGTGCTCCTGGATTGAGACATCCCAGAAATCTTGAGGGGGCCAATGACATGTGTTCACTAGGGCTGAGTGACGCAGATGGCTTTTACCTCTGAGTTAAGTATAATCATTTACCCATTTTGTTCTTAACAGGGGAAAAGGCATGGTTACAGAGGTACTAATGAAAATGCATCTCTAGCCACTTATGGCAAAATATTTTCAGCTAATACTTTACATATGAAACACATTAATGAATACAGTTGTACTGCTGGCACATAGTTATGGTAACCTCACCCATGTGCACATCCAGAAATAAACATCCAGTAACTTTCAGGCACTAACACTGAAAACTTCACCAAGAGTGCAAAAAATAAATATATTGCTGTCCTGTGATAATGAACTTGCTTCTTTTTCCTTCTGTCTTGATGGTTCTGAATACCATGAGGAAGGAGATAGGTCTTGAAGGAAATAGCTTAACTGGCTCTTGCTAGCCTATCAAACACCTGCCACCCCCTGCCCCTCCCCAAGCTCTATATTCAATTTTAGAACAGTGCTGCACTCTTCTGACTACTTGGAGCTGGTGAATTGGCTTACCAGTTTGTAGCTTGGTATACCAAGATGTTTGTTTCCTTGTTATAACTAGCGTATTTTTGGCAACAAATTAATATAAAAAGGATTAGAGATTTCATGGTTCTTGAATACATTCTGGAACTCTGGCTCTGCTTGGCTGAAAGGCTTTGAAGCTCCTCTTTATTTTAAGTGTTTCTTCTGTCCTGGTACATCATTGCTACTGACTTAAGAAGTCTTATCTTGCATGGTTTGATGGTGCTGATATTTACTTAAACATCAGCATGAAGTATGTGCCAGATTGGATATACTTTAATATGTATTGAGATTTCCTAGGCTGTCTTTTTCCTAAAGAGTAATGTACCTTTTAAGAGACAAATAAATGTATTTGGGCATCTTATATGTTGTTGGTGTATGTTTTTGAGAAAACAACTTCCCATAATGTGTCCCACCCTATACACAAATACTTCCATTGACATTTGAAAATAGCTTTTTTTTATAGTAGCTGCTATGTTAAAGAATTATTTTAAATTACCGCACTAAGGCTTGGCATAAGCTAAAACTGGGTTTAAATATCTTAGGATCATAAAATAATTCAGATGAAAGGGTTATTAGGAAGTCTTCTAAGCCAACATCCTTCTCCAAGCAAAGTCATACCAGCGTGCTTAGCCTTTCACGTTGTCTGGTCTTAAACCTTCAATAAAAGTTGTTTCAATGCCTGACTGTCCCCTGGTAGAAAGGTTCAGACTAGATAAACTAACTCCAACTGATGTCCATGGTCTCTTATCTTCCTACCATGCACCACTGTAAAGAATGTGTCCGTTAGGCTTGTGCAGATTCACTGGACACTTAAAGCTTGATTGCTACTATAATTTTTTTTGAAAGCCTGTAACACTTCAGAAAGGAAGTTGCACCCCATCCGTGTTCCTTACTGGCTTGTTTGAGTTGTTAACCTTTCTAGCTAACATGGAACTACCATAGTATTCCTATTCAGCCAGTTGAACCACTTCATTAGACTGTAAACTCACTTTTAATCAGCTGTTTAATCTCCAGTGTACTGTCTTTTTCTAAACTTTAATAATAGCTGCACAAATCCAGTAACTAGCCAGTGGAATGTGTGCATAGCCTGTTTATTTGATGCTTCTTGACTAGATCAAAACATGATAAATCTTTATGACCAGTCAAATAAGATGCAATTTCATCTTCAATTTGTTTCAACTGTTTACTGAGCCTATGAAATATAAGGTGAAGTTTGTCACTAATGGACCAAAAAAAGGCCAATGCCTGAGACTATCTAGTATGGCATAGAAGATTGGTGTACATTCAAATGCTAGTTCCTTAAATACCTACTGTACTGGAGAAACTGACAGTGGAGATAGATTTTTTTTTTTTTATTATTTTTTTTTTTTTTTAAGCTATTGTGCTTTTTCTTGTTTTTAGTTTTCAGATTCAACAGAATGAAAACTAAACTCTGAAGCTTTGGGACTCTACCTTAATGTGTAAATTTCATCTGGATCCTGTCAGTGACTGTGTAATCCAATGCAGATTAGTTTCAAGAACATCAAAATTTCTGCCTGAAGAGATATTGCTGCTATGTTTAAGGCCTTCCCTGTGTCTTGTGTTCTCCTGAAGCTCTGTGTGAATGTAGAATGGCCATGACTCAAACTGTGGTGCAGTATACTAGTTCTGATACAGGTTGATGCTGACTGGAGAAGCTGAGGCAGAATGACATTCAGGAACTACCATCTACAAAAATAAAACCCCAAAGGTTTAAAGTGACTGTGCAGATTGTATTATGGAGCAGATTCTATTTGCTAAATCTAGTATTATAAAAAACAATTTGATTTCTACCTGCATTATAGAATCTTTTTCTTTTTTTAACTTTTCTGAGGGGAAAAAAAATGAGCTTTAATAGATGGCTAGTCTTCCTTCATGTTACAAACTGCATTTTCCCTTCTGTTCCTTGGAGGAAGCATTGCTATGTTTGAGACTGGTGGGGTGGATCAGGAAATCTGATCCAGCCAGAAGGTGAAAATTATAAGACTGGTATTTTAGCCTAAAGAGGGGAATGGGACCGTGTCCCTTGTAGAGGAGATTGAGACAGTAGTTTGTGGAGAAGTCTTCAGGTCAATTAAACTAGTCATGAAGCCCTGTCCTGATTAGCCCAAGAACTTTGGTTTGGAAAGACTTAGACAGACCCAGTTCAACTTCAGGCTAATAAGTGAGCAAAAAGTGTCAAACATAATTTGTTTTACATATACAGGATATATAGTAAAGTGATAATTCATCTCAGCCCTGTGCTATTTTATTTCATTATCTCTTGCAATCTGAAATATGTTAATATTAAATGAGCAACTACCTGATTTTCTAGTCCCTATATTTAAGGGACAGCTTTGAGATTAAAAACTTGGGTAAAAAATCTGAATCAGTGCCTCGGTAAAATGTCTTTTCTGGCATGTTTCCATCAACTGATTTTTGTAAAGGCTGGAGATGGCATGTAGTTTTCCTGGATTGTAGTAGTGCTGTATGTCCATGCAGCTACTGCAAAGTCAGCCTCTGTTCATTTAAAAAGGTTAATGAGGCATTACAATTACTGAGAAAACTATAAAGGAGTTAGAGCAATTAGTGGTCTTTCAGTATGGGATTTTCTAGGTGTATCTTAACTGCAGAGGTAGAAAAATACAAGCTATTCCAAGCTACAGTTTTGTTTGTTTAAACTTTGTGTCAGACCAATTGAGTTGCAATAGCATTCTATCTCCTTAAATTGAACAAATACTTGTTCATCTGTAGTGATTAATCACTGGGGAATAGTTTGAGTCATTCTTACAGACTCAGTTCCTGAGTAACCATTTGATACATGGTGATATGAGGAAATAGTTATAAAAGAAGTATGTGCAGTAAAACCATGGTATGGGATGGTGAAATATTTTGCTCTTAAAAACTGTTGCTTTCTTATCTTTCTACTTTTAACATCTTGCTAGTGACCTTGGTTCCAAACCAGGGAACTGGCTACGTCTTTCTCCCTTTACAGAACACCATGTCTGGTATAGAAACACAGTTTTCTAAGTACACATATGTGCCTTCGTTCTTCATATAATGAATTGCTAAAGAAACTAAGAAATGGGGGTAGCAATATTCTTTCAGGAGTGAAAAATATATTATCAAAATGTCAGTGAGATAAATAATGATTCTGAATTGAAATACATCATTCATTTGACAGTATGCAAAAGGTCACTTCAGAGTTTTGTCCTGCAGCAGACTAATACTGAAAATAAGCAACAGGCTAGATTCAGTTCTGATGATGTAGTGAAGATCATTTGAAAGAAATTGTGCCTGTATTGTACATGACCATTATAAAGCTCTGTGTGTAAGCTCACTTCTCTGTTTCAAATTGTGTCAGAATAAGAACAAAAAAGTACTTGGTGTATTTTTAAACACATAATTATGGACTCCTTTATCATCACTTAAAATAGTGTTCATTCAGTGAAAATATCAAAATTAGACATTCTAAGTGGCTTACATACTCATATGAATAAATTCTACTAGATGGTTATTTTATCATTTCAGTCTGTGTACATACAAAATGCTTCCTGCCCCAAGTACCTTAAGAAAGCCTTCCTTGTTTATGTAAAGATGATGCTTTGGATAGCTTTGGCTTGGGAAGTGTACGAGTAGAGGGCCAGCATCTCAATATTGGTTCCTTCATCCTTTTGCAAAGATAAGTATAGTATCTTGCATGTTTTTTATCTCATGGTAAATCATAATTTGGTCTGAACTCTAAATTAAATTAAAATATGCAGAATTCCTGGCATTATTGCCCTTGTAACTGTGAGTAAAGGTAGCTGCTACATGTCGTGGCATTTTAGTGTTAAGGGGTTTTATCTGTCTTTTACAGGTTCTAGGAAATGAAACAAAGTGTTCAGCCTTTTGATAAAACATACAGGCTTCTGCTCTGCCTCATCAGTATTTTTCTTTTGAACTTAGGAGCTTTTAACCTGTTTATCATACGTAAGTTATGCTTATAATTGAGTCCTGTCGGAGAGCTCATGGCTCCCTAAAGGTTAAAGATAGCATGGGTATTCTGCTAACTCTGCTTCTAAACTCCTCTGCCATTTACTGCTATGTATCAAAGTAGTATGTAGTATCCATCCAGAATAATGGACTTTCAACCTTGCCCTCAACCTCACATTGTCCTGGTTTTGGCTGGAATAGAGATAGTTTTCTTCCTAGTAGCCAGTAGTGCTGTGTTTTAGTATGAGAATAATGTTGGTAATGTACTGATGGTTTTAGTTGTTTCTAAGTAGTGTTTATACTAAGTCAGTGATTTTTCAGCTTCTCATCCCCTGCCAGCAAGAAGGTTGGAGTGGCATAAGAAGTTAGGAGGGAACACAGTCGGGACAGCTGACTCAAACTGGCTGAAGGAATATTCCATACCATATGATGTCATGTTCAGTATATAAACTGTTGGGGGCATTGGCTGGGAGGAGCAGATCGCTGCTCAGGGACTGGCTGAGCATCGGTCCGCAAGTGGTGAGCGATTACATTGCGCATCACTTGTCTGTCTTGGGGTTTATTTCACTCTCTTTATGTTATCTCCTTTTTCATTACAATTATTATTATATTTTATTTTTCAGTTATTAAGCCATTGTTATCTCAACCCACGACTTCTACTTGGTTTTGATTCTCCTCCCATTCCCACCATGGCAGGGGGGAGGAGTGAGCAAGGGGCTGCATGGTGCTTCGTTGCTGGCTGGGGTTAAACCACAACACGCATTCAGATGGGTTTGTTTTTAATTTTTGTATTTCAAAAGTGGACTGTGGTATTGAAGTAGCATAATACTTGGGCTGCATTACCCATTTTCATTGTTCATGTTACGTAGAAGCATCTTTGGTTATAATGAGTGAATTTTAATTGACAGTGCTATCCCAGCATTGATGTAGCAAAACATCTGCCCCACTAAGATACATTCAGTATTAACTTTAAATTACTGTGCTTCAAACATGATTTTATACTCGATCAGTATTTATTCAGTATAGTACCACATTGAAATAGTTGTACTATGCACAAAGATTACTTCTAGTCCCTTTTCCCTGGACAGCATCTGGATGGTTAAAGTGCTAATGTTTCTACAGATGTATGTACAAGCTGTATTGGGTTCGTGTGGCAAGGTTTTGGCAGTGGGGGGGGGGGAGAGGGGTGAGGCTACAGGTGTAGCTTCTCTGAGAAGCTTCCTCTATGTCTGACACAGCCAGTGCCAGCCGGCTCCAAGTGCTGAGCACTGGCCAAGGCTGAGCCCATCAGAGATGGTGGTAGCGCCTCTGGGATAACGTATTTAAGAGATGGGAAAAACCCCGAAGAATGGAAACTGCAGCCAGAGAGAGGAGTGAGAATATGAGAGA